GAGATTATGACCACGAATATATCAACGAGGTCGCATTTTTTACCCCGCTCTCGAAATCGTGCTATTCGAGGTAGAAATATTAAATTACGAGCGACTCTACTTCAAGAATGAGTACTGTTAGTGAGAGGGACTGCTCCCACTTTACCAAGTCGCTGGAGCAACACACGAAGTCCCCGTCTCATGAAAGGTCGAGAGAATACTGTCGTTCTCCCAAACGAGCCGCACATTTTTAGGCACAGAACGTGTTTAGTCGTTCGCACGCCATACATCGAATAATGTTATACTTTTAAAGGCAAGCCTCGGAATAAAACTGGTGTATAGGAGCGCACCATAGTGATGCATGAGCTGCAAATGAACTAAAAGTGGAAAAGAAAGCAAGAGAAATCATGGAACGCTGAAATTAAGGCCTTGACCTTCAGTAAGGTCGGATGTGGTACGATGGCGAGACAGGGCGATCAAAGAAGACAAAACACGCGAGAGAGCACGCCGTTCGAGAGAGCGCGCTGATCTCCACATCAATGGCGGTGGGTGGGAAGCGTTGCAATAGGGTCGATGGTTGCAGCACCTTAACGATTAGCGCCTAACCGCGCATTTTGTGCGATGGTGTGGCCTCCCTTTTCGTAGTGAAGGACACTACAAGATTCTCTCGCGGTACCCTTCCTACTAGTTGGGCTAATCCCGGGGCTTGCCTTCGAATTTCAGGGCACTCCAATCCACACCGCCGTAGAATCCGCGAGTATGAACAGCTCATGAGTTTCTATTATGGGAAACGATCCTAGCGAAGTCCAGCAGCATCAACGTCAATGGCAGTTCCTTAGAATTGTACCCTGGTAACAATCGGTACTCAATTCGCCATCCTCAGACAAGGCAGTTTCAGTCAGTCGTTTTCCATCTGGACACAGAAGCTTAGAAGAGCTTTACTTCTCATTTAGTTGTTCAGTGCTCACAATTGGAAGTAAATAGCCTCGCTCCGTTACGACCATTACATTAGGTGCAGTTCGCACGACGGAACCATCAAGCATGGTCGACATCAACCTTGTATACCTACTCCGCAAAACTCTTTAGCTCAGCGTTCATACGAAGAACAACATAACCGCGCCGTGCCCCGCACGCCACATCACAGCAGAAGACAGATAAGTCCTACGTGCTCTTAGCATCGCTCCAGCGCATATTACAGCAACACGCAAGATCATGCGAGACCTCTCATGGGACAGATGACTTGTGGGATGTTGTTACCACAGATCCCCCGCATAAATAACCTTAGAGCTAGTCCTCGGTCGTACAAGCTTTGGACCCTCCATCTCTGGTTCACAGTTTATCGTTAATTTCATTCAGTACGATCCAAATCATCTCATACCACAATATACCACTGCGACCCTAGATATGAAGGTATATCGTTGGTACTACTGAAGATTCAGACCCGCAATTTGATCAAGCCGAAGACGACAGAGTCCTTCAGTGGTTCTATGACACAACCCAGGAGATGAAGGGCACTTTTCCTTCCAGACATGTACAAGTCTGGTACCAATTAACCGACCCCGGAGGGATGGAAGGCTTGGTTGGCCCGGGCGACTCACGACCCAGGATTTGATCCCCGGACCGCTCGCGTGGTAAGCGTGCCACTTGCCACTACACCACTTCCGCCCTCGTTTGAATGTAATTATGCGGGAAAGAAAAGCTCAAATAAGTGTTTATTAATGGAAGGTTATATTAGGATTAGTTTACGCAATCGATCGTTTCTCCTGGTTGCTTCTTGGAAAGATCTGTCACGCCGAGGTGGAATACTTTCATCGGTTTTTTCCCTTTTGCGATGTAGCTGGCAGGGATTCTAATGCTGAATTTCCTGTAGCATTTCTGAAACGACAGAAGAAATTGAGGATTGACGGCACACTTGAGAATTAGTTGTATACGTATAATAGCACTAACTTTCGATAAGTATACTCACAAACCTTCGCAAAACGCAAAGCTATGGGCGAAACTTTGAATGAATTTATTAGAATTTGAATGAGTTTCGAAATAAAATCACTTATTAACTGGACTATTGTGTTACCACTTATACGCTGTTTCAAAGCCTTACTTCGCGTTGTTTCAAATGTTTTATAAATAATAATAAATAATAATAAATAATGTAAAATTACGCCCAAAATGCTTAGCTCAAACACGGCGTCAACCTTGCCATGACCCACCATTTGAAGCCAATAGGTAATAACTCAGATCATATAAAGACGAATCGTCGGATGTTCTCAAAAGGAACTTCAGGATCACCGCACTTTTTCGTGTGTCCGTGCAAGGTCCAAAGGAAGCTACTGAGTTTCTTGGCGGCCACAGAAATGTAGCCTACCATTTGCTACGATATGCTTCAACGTCTGCATTGCTATGACTGATAACCACTTTTGGCACATGTGATTATGAAGAATGTACATGTTTTACCTTCAATTTCGGGTGTCCCCCAACAGGCCCACCGCGCGGCGAAGCAAGAGACGCAGATGCGGCAAAGAGACGAGTTGCAGCGCGTGCTGTGCGATATGAGACGTAGTATGGTACACTCTCTTTAACCTGACGCCTAACCGCTACAGTATGCGCTGCGACTCGTCCCTTTGCCGCGTCTGCGTCTCTTGCTTCGCCGCGCGGTGGGCCTGTTGGGGGACACCCCGTATTACGCCTCATCGTGACACTTTTGTATGAACGAACGCTTCAGTAATTTTTCCAGAAAGGAACAGTACCCACGAAAACCTCGATCTTATCCTGTATCATAGTGCTAAGTGATCCCTATTTTGTGCAAAAATTGTATTTTTAGCTACTTTTTACAATATTTTATTATCCAACCTCGAGATTTAGTTAACCACAGATATGTGCATGCTCTTTCGCCACCACGTATGTGGCGACGAAGCCATTGCCTTCTGTCCTCTCTCATCATTACAATTATTGGGTTGTCTCATATTACTGCCCTAATTCTATTCGAATTCAAATTTCTTCTGCCTGACAATAGACCATTTCATTGCGATATACGTAGCTATGTTGAGGAATGCTCTGGGAGCTTTAATAAGATGCCGCGACAGCCAAAAACGCCGCAAATGGGCTAATCAAGCAAAAAACAAAACACAGAGGCCAGTGTCAACACGAATGATTATTCTTTATGTTCCGAGTGAATAATACTGCTAGGAAGACAGTAGACGAAATCAGCGCTTTATAAGGCTCAGTCTCTGCTATTGAGTGGCTACTGAGCTAATGATTTACTCGCAACGGCAAAGGCATCCGGACTGCAGGCGCCATAATTCAGAAGGGAATCAACCATAATCTGCTATATAAGAGAGTCTTCCCTAGTCGATAACCAGTAGAGGTGAATTCATGAGTCCACCGCTAAAAATACACGTGGCAATGCTGCCTTGCAGCCTGGTCCTTCCAGGTTAAGCAAACCCCAAGCTCTGTATTCATAGGATATTGCCCTCCTTTTTGTACTCCCTAGGTGGCCTGGTTTACGAACTTTCCACTGTATGAAGACAAACATTGAGATAGAACCTTTAGAAATATCTCAGAATATCCGTTGTCCGCGTGAACGCCCGACCTCCAACAGTGCAATGACTATTCGCTAAGCTCTTGAAATAGGCACGACCACGACGTACCACGGTCCATGGGTATTGCTACACAGACTATCGCCTCCATGACAGCCCACAATGGATCAGCATTTGCGAGAGGAAAAAGGGAAGGAGTACGTACCCGCAGAAACGACTCCTCCCAATTTTTTAGCCCTAGCTTCTGTCATTTTGGAAGGAAAGCACGCAAGCGTTCCCTAGCAAATGCATGCGTGACCATAATGGTGCTTAGTTCGATCACCTGTTCCCCAAGGGGGATAAAACATATATAAACAAAATTGTCAAGATCCGGACAGGAATTATGAGACAGCCCAATATCTCGCCTCGCATTCAGCCTTGTTTTGATATGCAATACTTCTCACCGCTACGCGATTACATTTGTGGTAGATGTTGAGCTTTGGATCGATACTTGAGACTTCTCTTTTCCATCCGGCCAGTAGAACCTTCCTTTGAGATCAGATCGAGATTCGGCCAGTTTTGAATCGAATACTGCAAACAATGTTATTGTGCGCTGCATGATTAGACTGTGCTGAGAAGCACTTACACCTTCACTCAAAAAGTTCATGGATACATTTTTTAGCCACGCATTTCATAGCATGAAAATGGTTATCGATGGCCATAAGGGACACTGTGCTGTATATTCCAACTCACATATATTAAGATGGTGGGTTGCTCGAATTTAGACAGGCAGTGCTGGTCGCTATCGAGTCAAATGAGAAAGAGAAGGAAACCATGGTAGCCATGAACAAAATAGTGGCACCATTTCACTGCAATTCTTAAAAGCAGCTGTGACCTTTATTTCAAAGCCACAACCCAAGATTGAGTCATGTCGAAGAATCTATTCCGTGGCTGCAATAGCGTAGGCCACTACTATCACAGATTTGCCGTTGTTGCGGCTCAAAATTGCGCGACAATGACGCTAGAGTCCTACGAAGTAATTTGATGGCGGCCATTGAAGTGTAGGGGAAAGACACGCATACCTTAATAGATCAGCTGATCTGTGCATGGTAGGACGAGGAGGCGGTGGTTGTTGATCATGGGTGGTCATGGGAGACCGCCTTGTCGGAAGTGAACGATTGGCGCGGGGGTCCTCATGCAGTACCTCCAGTTCCAGTTCCAGAGCTCCGGTGTTCCAGTGTTGTGGTTTCCTGAATCCAGCGTTCCAGTGTTCCAGTGGCATCTGTGTGGTGCCTTAGTGGTGTAGTTGGTTGTGAGCTGTACGGCCCGTAAGGAAAGGAGGGCCTAGGCTCAGAAGTAGCCTTTGTGGCGTGGTGAGAACAGCCTCAGTGGATCACTGGTTTGGCCTTAGTAGCCTGAAGAGGAAAGCCTCCGTGGCTCGGTGAATCGGCATGAGTGGCCTGAGAGGAGCCTTAACGGCTCAGTGATTTGGCCTCAGTGGCCAGTTGTGAAGAGCCTTGGTGGCTTGGAGGAGAGAGGCCTCGTGGCTTAGCCCAGAGAAGGAATTGCGCCCTGCACCTGGTTGAGGCGGATTGTATCGATGGTCTCGGCTCAGTGGTCCCGGTCCCATCGATGCAATACGCCTCACATCGCCCAGTTATCTTTATTCTTGTGTATTTATTGTCGATTTTTCTGATCTCAATAAACCTTCCTTTCTACTTGTCTCAATCACAGTTACTAATGGTAAGGGTTACTCCCACGTCGCAGCAGACAAATCCGTTTATTACACTACAGAAAACGTACGGACGAGATACCTCATGCCGCTAGCATGTGAAGTGTAATGAAATGTAGTGGATGAGATAGACGGTGTTCAGGAAACAAAACGTCCAGACACGTCTATTTCCCGCCATCAGTCAACCTTGATTACCTCACCAAACCGATTTCATTGTCAAGTTGTTTCTTTAACCAGATTTTTGCTGCATTGCAAACAAAAGCCTCTGAAAGCAATTGGAAATCCGCGTTGAACACGTTGTGCTATTCCTCCGTGCATAGAGGAACTAGAAAGGCTTTCTCAACCTCACTGCTTCATCATTCCGACAAGGGAGAGGAGTCGTTAAAGCAATTCGAGGGCAAGCCCTGGGGATAAAACTGTAAGAAGCTGTAATGACGATGTAGGGACGTAATGACTGAGTTGCGGAATAAACTGAAAAGTGGAAAAGAAAAGCAAGAGAAATCAGAAAC